GCCTCGTCACTCACTGAATCTGAGGGCTTTCAATCTAAGGACCCTGATGCAGGTGGGTCAACCAGCGTGTCTGGCGCGTACAACGGGGTTCTTTTGGTTGATATCTTCTGCGTATCGGAGACGCGAATCCAGGATCCTAGTACTATAATCCACTTTGGTGCCCTGGATTTGCCTTCTACTACTACTACTACTACTGCTGCACACCAGGAATTAACGAAACCGTTCAGTAGACCAGCTTGGCCTAGGCATTGTACTCAATTATACAATTATACAACCGAATGATTCCTCGTCAACAGTCGCTTATAGGCGATGCGGTTCCAAGTGTATATCATCGTCCGAAAGGGAAGCAACATCACAAAAAGACGAGTTTTGTGATAAGCTCGACGAACTCAGTTGGTTGAGCCAAAGCTCGAATATAGTAGTGCTCGCAGGTGATTTTAAGGCACAGGTTGGAAAATTGAGCGCATCGGAAGCTGACCTAGGCGGTGGTTGTGCGATATCTTGCCAAACAACTGATAACGGCCACCGGCCTCGTGAGTTCTGTGCAGATCACCATCTGTTTCTATCCAGTACCATGGACAGCGCACTAAGTGGTCTCCAAAATGTTGATATTGAATGAGAAACTGTGCGATTTGGAGTACGCTGACGGCATCGTTTGCCTGTTCGAATGTATGGCGGATGCACAAAATACACTTGATAGACTAGCAAGTTCTATTGATCCGTTCGGCATGCGCTTTACACCTGAAACTAGAAGGGCAGAAATTGGCTGAAGTTGGCTGCTTCTCGTTCTTGAGTAGCTCCGTGACCAACGACGCTAGGGCATCACATGAGATAACCATTGGCTTTTCCAAGACTCGAGCAGCATACAAAGGACTAAAACACCTGTGGCGACGGTGTGACGTTTCACTTAATTTGAAAGTTCTCGTATACTGCGTTACTGTACAATCAGTTCTGCTTTACGGTTGTGAGACCTTACGGGTAGAAGAAATCCGGTGCCTAGTGGTTTTCAACAATCGATGCTTACGTAGTCTGGCTCAAGTGTGATGGAGTGAGCGGGTTAGTAACTTCGAAGTAAGTCGTCGAGTGTTTGGGAATACATCGAACAAGAACTCGTTATCTCATCGAATTGAGCTCAATATACTTCGTTGGTTAGGACACGTTGTGCGTATGTCCGACGGTCGCCTACCGCAGCGCACCTTATTCGCAGTGGCTGTTGCGGACTGGAGAAAGTCACGTGGAGGCCAGCAGATGACGTGGAGATGAGGCATGAAGGAATGCACAGAGCCACTTCACAAGCACTNCAACCAGGTGTGAGCCATCGATAAGCATTTTATATTATTGTACCGTGATTTGCTTGATCCGCGGTTTGAACGCAGAAAAATGTGAAATATAATATAATCGGATTAAAACAGATGGACAGAGTAGACAAATATCTACAGACAATATAATCTAACAATGGTCGCAAAAAGAGTGATAATTAAATTATTTTATGATAAAATAAACTGCTACTAAAAGTTTGTTTGTGTATGCATTAGAGTAGAAGCATGTCACGGGTGTTTAGCAATGTATCGTTAGCTCATCGAATTGAGCTCAATATACTTCGTTGGTTAGGACACGTTGTGCGTATGTCCGACGGTCGCCTACCGCAGCGCACCTTATTCGCAGTGGCTGTTGCGGACTGGAGAAAGTCACGTGGAGGCCAGCAGATGACGTGGAGATGAGGCATGAAGGAATGCACAGAGCCACTTCACAAGCACTGATGATGTCACATCGGCTGATGATTAAACGTTTGCAAACAAATTGCCAAACTCGGCGAACAGGCGAAATTAAATTCAGTTCACCCGAGCTCCGTGAACCGATTTTCAATATTTTGTCAAGAGTAGGTGTCTCTCGACTTCCGGGTTGGGGTCCAATTACTCCCTAACCGTATGGTTGGAGACAATGAAGGTCATGGTAGCAAACCGACTGCATTGCTGTCACTTCTTATCAGACCAGAATGCTCGAAAACTTGTGTATGCAAAGTTGGACTGTGCTCTCCGTGTATTGACCATAGAGGTTCGCTTTGTTTTCTCGAGCCCCTCAAAATGGGCCCATAGTCTATCCTCCTTACACATTCTCATTTGCCTTGTATATAATATGAGTTTGGCAGGGAGCAGTGAAGTTCGCCTCACTGTATTACGCTGTACAATGGTGATGATGAAGATGAATTCACCAGGTGTCATGTGTAAGCTTTGACTGTACGGTTTTGTACTACACGTTTGACTTCGGTTCTCAAATCAAACTGCACACGTTTATGCTTATTTCTCTGGTGAACACTTGAGATATCGGCGGTTAGGTAGCTTTCAATCCGCAGTTCTCCATGGTTTCCGATGTCTTTCAACAAATAAATATTACAGGTTTTCATTTGCAGGCGAAGCTAGTAATCTTCGCTTGAAATGCGACCGTTATATATCCTCCGAAATAAATCATCCACAAATTTTGTACTCGCGATTATAAAATGCATTTGTCCTATGTTTATACACGTTTTTCACTGTTCAGCCGGTCTGTGTTACGCTCCTATTAAATTGCCTACCGTTTTGCCGAAATCTACTGAGCATTTTGTTAATCAGACATTGTTGAATTGAAAGCAATCCACCGTTTGTGTTTGTCACTGAACAGCGAGCGAATGTTTGTTTTTAGACCTATCTCAGCACACTCTTTTCTGTTTAGCTTTGGTTTCGGTTTTTCTTCACCATAAATTCTCATTACCGTTCATTTAAATGTCCCCTTCCATAGAACTTTTTCACGTTTTCATTGTATTGTGCGAGTGAACAGATGAATAACGACCTTTTCGGTCTGCATTGTCTCACTCTCGCCGCCCGAATATCCCTTCTCAGGTGTTCGTTTTTCGTGGTCCTTCGTGGTGTTCTTTTCTCTCAGTACAAAGTAACACACGCGCTTGCGCATGCGAGCCTGTGCGCCCGTGGCTACGTCCCAACTAGGCGGCAACAAGAAACTTCTGTCACGTCCTTTTCCACTAACACTCGACACACTTTAAATATCACCCAGTGTTTCAATACAGGAATAAAGCGTACAGACACGCACACGCGTGAACTGACGCAATAAGGGCACGCATTCTCTCATCTCTATCTCTCGTTGTCGATGGCGCTGGTTCCATGTGTGCGCAGCTGTTCCGTTGCTCGTGGTGGTCAATACAATGCTTCGTTGATAACTGCAACTAGTAGTATATGAAAGACTCCAAAAACGTTTTCTGGAAGCACAAGGTCGTTTTAGCGTTTGTTGCCACTCACCACACACACACACACACACACACACTATATATATATATATATATATATCGCAATCTGCATGTTTTCATTTTAGTTTTTACCTTTCATCTACAAATACATGGATTTTGCTCGAGTTTGAACATGCTAGTGCAAGTTAACTAAGTCTCATGTACTCCTTCATAGAACTTATCAGCAGATTCCCCAGTTAGAATCCTAGTTCAGTTTCTTTCAAATACCAGCGATCCAGAATTCTGCACCTATCGTCGCATTCTGACCAATGTAAATATGCGAAACTGCTACTGGCGCCGGATTTCGGTCCCCACAGTGATACACACGGTGTGTAAGGCCATGAATCAAAATAGTGAGCAGATCAACTGTTTGGGATGAGACTGTATGATGGTCCGTAGCATTCAGGTAGTATCCGCAATTTTATGCAGGCGATATGACGATGTGTACGAAACAGACCACATAAAGTCAGATTCACCCGGGGGTTGTTGTTCATCCGAGAAAACGGGGATGAGGAGAAATAGAAAATCGGATCCATTTATTCCTTAACAAACATTCATTCCGTAGAAGATCAAGTCCGTTCACCAACATGTAACTGCCTTTGTGTGCCGTATGCTGTTTCGCCCCTGGGATTCTGAGCCTTGGTTTCCCCCAACCTGGTTCATTCGGTCTGTCATGCAGTTTCCTGGTTTGTGGCCGCTGGTACGCAGACTTGCTTTGTCGAGCCGCAAGTCAAAATGGCGCAAATGACGGGGAACAAATAGGTGCAATTTACATCCAAATATAAAGACCAGTTTACCAGCGCAGGCATAATACTCCACCGAAACGCACCGCAAATGAAGTGTCGGCGCGCACACAAAAAGCTCGGTTGGCATTTGCCAACTTCAGACATCGCGACATCCGGCTGTCTGTGAAGGGTCGAGTATATGCTGCAGTAGTTCGGCCAGTTCTACCCTGCGGTGCAGAGACTTGACCACTACAGGAACAGGATAAAAATAGATTATCGGTGTTCGAAAACGACTGTCTACGTCGCATTGCACCAGTCTGAAGGGAAACCCGACGAGTAATGCTGAGGTTATGTGTAGGGTTTTGGGTAATCGAGGTCGTCCACTGGCGCAAATGGTCGACCTCCATAGATTACGCAGTTTTGGACATGTGTTGCGCATGTCACCAGATAGGTCACCACGGCGAGCGATGTTTGCCCTGGCAGGTAGAGGTTGGATAAAGATCCTGGGCAGTCACAGTAAGACCTGGCACGAGGGTATGAAAGCCTTGACCAGGAGACTGGCTCACATAGGTTCCGTTAGGCTCCCCGGGCTGTGGGCTCAGAGATCACGGTCACCGATGATTAGAGGCACTGACACAATATGGTTGGGTGTCGCAGACATCATTCTGCTGTTTTATCCAAATGAACAACCAAAACCGGCGCACGAAAGTGCATGGGTAATGGTTGTAAGAACTGAACTGAACGGAACATCTGTTGGATCCTCTTTAAACTCTTCACGAAGATCTAGATATGGAAGTGGTCAGTTCGGTGAAGTACTTATCGCATAACCGTCTAGTGTTTTCAGTACGTTTTGCGCTCAACTTGGGAGGAGAATCCCTACTTATGGGGACGAGACTTTCGTCACTGTTCAGTTTCATTGAGATCCATATAACTACAAAGATATTTATATTTCTCGTAGCCACTTTTGTCAATAATCCTGTTATATTTTGCCACCATAGGGTGAAATTCGATTGTGATGAGACGACTTCCGCAACCTATCACGTCCAGAATACTCATCGGTTTCGTGTTGTCAGTTACAATCTGCTAGCGGATGTGTATGCGAGCACTGCTATCGCGCGTACCCATATCTTTCGACAGTGTCCGATCGAATGCTTGAACATACGGTATCGCTTACCGCTCATTCTTCGAGAACTGCTCCTGTACAAAGCGGATATTCTGTGTTTGCAAGAAGTCGACGTTTGGGTGTTTGAACACTATTTGAAACCACTGTTGACCCGTTTATCAGACATGGATGGCATGTATTTAGGTAAACGCCTCATGGTAAAGGAACCGGGTCCACCCCCGAGGATTGTGGCCGATTTAACCAAAGAAAAGGTAAGTAACTTGATTCATCCGGCTTTTGTTTCGATGAAGTTATATTCGATGTTTGAATGGTGTGACAAAATCCTATTTAATTGCCTTTTGAAACCTTGACTCTGTCTCGCGGCGATCACTTGATTTAATGAACGACTCGTTATTTGAAGTACGGCTCTTCAACATCTGTGTTCTGTACTTCACCCGGGCCAATTATTTTCAGTTTGGAATAATGGGAAATACAAATGGGCTGACAATCCACTATTTTTTTACGGACAAATTTGATTTTAGCCATTGATTCCGAGTGCTCCTCAGTCAACTGTCAATCGTCATTTCACAGCATTACGTGACAGATAAGGTACATATCAAAGAGAATCAGTGAAAACCGGTAAGCAAGTTCCACAGGCTGAACCGTGTGCATGAAAATTCCGGTTTCCAGTTCGCGTAATCTGGAGCTGATTGGTACAACGAATGACAACACTGTGAACAGTTTCAGTAAACTGAACGGGACCGGTGTATGTTTTAGAAGGAAACATTGGATTTCGTGTCATTGAATGACTGGATGATGTGTATAATAGGTTGACAGGACTGTGATATGTGATCACCGTCCAAGCTACCAGAGTGACGTGCGTTGTATCGCAAATGTTTTTTCGTAGACAATTCCGTTTTCACACTGGTGTGTTATTTACCGTTTCAATGAAATCCGACATCTGTTGTCTACGTGGTCAGGAAATGAATCGGGACGAACCTGCATTGTTGTTGACCCGAGGAGCGGAGTCTAACATGTCACGTGTGGTAGAACCTAGGCATTTGGGGATATACCAGCACATTCGGGTTGGGAGGCGATCTTTGTCCTCTTGATATGGCTGGAATGTCCTAATTATGTACTCGGTTTTAGTTTGTGCAAAAGAAATAGTAGTTAGTTTGGTGAAATAGCGTGGTGCTCGTTCATCATCTACTCGATGTCCTTGCAACCTTGGTTTGCTCACATTCTCTTTTTCACCTTGACACTACTCTCAGCACTCCAATCTTTCATCTGCTCCTTCATTTGACTGTGCAAAAGAAAGACAACAACCACAACTGCCACACAAAAGTGCGTGATCAATGGGTATATTGGGTGAAACTGAACTTGAATTTCATGAAAATTTGGTAGCCCTACGTTTGACCTGTTAAATCATCGGCGGTTGGCTCTTTTCGTTACTCATTATCTCCTTTGAATGGGAGTGGCCGAATTTTGTGACCAGAAAATATTCGATCCACATTTTTCTACTTCCTGTTCCGCATAGGATAGGCAGCGGGGTGAGAAAGGTGCACTTACGTTCCTTTCATTGCTCTCACTCGTTCGTCATGCCACTGATGTAATTGTGTTTAAAACATTCCGTCGTATGGGTTTCCAAGGTGATGCTGCGTCTAAGTATGGACCCCGGTTATCCAAAAACTGTTATGAGATAGCAATCAACTTCCAATCAAAAGATATCTCAAAGTTAAATAACATTCACAATAAAACCGAGGAAGTTCGAAAGCATTTTGAACGGCAGTTTGTGTATGTATGTGCACATTTTCTTCTCTAAACAACTTCGCATTCAACTTATCACCACCACCGTCACCCTCAACCGGGTGAGGGGTTGGATCCATGGTCAATTTAGTCACCCATCCGCACAACTCACTGATCTCAGTCAATATAGCATTTTGTTGACTACCCGTGGTGTACAATCTACTTACATCGTACAACTCACATGTCCATGTTGTGTTTTCCACTTCCGACCTTCCTGGGACAGGAACTGTAAGCAAAGTAGAATGTGGCTGTTAGACTGACTGACAGGCTCTGTGTCGTGGACAT